GAACACCATCGGTATTGACAAAATCCCTATCAGTCAATTCCAAAAGGCAGCTTTCTTGGAATAGCTTACATCCTGGAGGTGATACCTTTAACTCCATCAAATAACATCTGCCTATCCCAGATCATTAGGAAGGAATCAATAAGTGGATAAAAATGTCAAATCCAGTCTACACATCTGGCTGACTGTGTGATGAATCATAATAATGATTCAATAGATGGACAAAAATGTCAAATACAGTGTGACCATCTGGCTGACTTTGCGACAAACCACAACAACAGACTGATAAAGTCTTGGCTCATAACATAGCAGATATGATGTGGTTTGAAAAAAAAGAACGTGTGGATAATTGAAGTGGCAATACCAGAGGATAGTAGAATAAAAGACAAAGATCTGAAAAAGATCAGAAAATATTAAGATCTGAAACTTGAAAGATTATGGCATAAACCATAATAAACCAGTTGTGGTGGTCTCAGTTGGCACAGTAGGTGTTCATACCAAAAGATATTCAATGTGATTTAGAAATTTCCATCTGTCAGTTGCAAAAGGCCACATCACTTGGATCCACACATATACTACGTTGACAGATTATGATATCCTAGGTACTTAGTGTATATGAAGGCAAACACCAGCTAAACTAAAGTACCAGCAGCTCTGACTTCACATTGTTGAGAACAAATGATTTATAATGTTTTAGAAAAAGATAAAAAGCTTATTGTGATATAATTTGATAAACATTATGACTACAAAAAATGATTAGAAAAGAGCTAAAACGATCTAATTTAAACAACACAATGCAAGTAGTCCTTGACTTACAACCACAATTGAACCCCAAATTTCTGTGGCTGAGACATTTGTTAAGTGAGTTTTGCCCCACTTTACAATCTTTCTTGCCACATTTGTTAAGTGAATTAGGCTTTCCCATTGACTTTGCTTGTCAAAAGGTTGCAAAAGGTGATTGCATGACTCCAGGACATTGCAACCCTCATAAATGTGAATCATGGCAAGCATCTGAATTTTAATCACGTGACCCTGGGGATGCGGCAATGGTTACAAGGGTGGAAAATGGTCATAAGTCACTTTTTTCAGTGCTGTTGTAATTTGAACGGTTACTAAATGAATTGTTAAGTCGAGGAGTACCTGTATCATCATCATGCAATCTTTTGGGGTTCATGATGGAATCCCTCTGGAGAATAATACAATGGTTGTTAAAAGGAGTGTATGCTTACAAAGAGAAGAACAGATTTAATTGACTTGAAGTTTGTTTGTTTTTTTAAAATCCTTTTGGCAAACTCCTCAAAATTCTTGGCTATCTTCTAGCTACATTCAGTTCTTCTACCAGCACATTTTTGGTGAGCTCTGTATTGAAATCAGATAATAGCTTCATTTATTCCTGCTTCCTGTCCCAACACATTCCCATTGCATTTCATTTTGAATTACCATTGCAAGCCTATGCACATATACTGAGAATGCCCCCACTGAATGCCCCACTGAACTCACTGAACTTGCTTTTAAGTAAAACATATGTTTTACATACCATTACACCATCCCTTCTCCATGACATTTAAGGTAACTTTTAGGGATATTTCCCTTCATCTCTACAACCATATTATTAGGGTTGGTTGCACAATCAGCCAGATGGCTAGACTGGATTTGACATTTTTATCCACCTATTGAGCTGGGATAGGCAGATGTTATTTTTGCAGGATGTAAGCTCTTCCAGGTAATGGTGCCTTTTGCAATTGATTGATGGAGATTTTGTCAATGCCAATAGTGTTCAAGTGGTGCTCCAGTTGTTTTGGGATTGTACCCTCGAGTGCAATATTATTATTGGAACTATCTTTGCTTTCTTTTGTTGCAGTTGTTCTACCTCTATTTGTATGTTTTTATACTTTGTGATTTTCTCCAGTTCTTTCTCTCATCTTCTGCTATCTCCAGATACTGCAGTGTCCACTATCCATTTTTTTTGTCTTTCTTACCAACAATTGTTAAATCTTGTGTGGCAAATGCTTGTCTGTTTGAATTCTGAAGTCCCAGGACACTTTAGTTCCTAATGAAGGAGAATATTTGTAGCTCAGGGTTGAAATGAGGGGTCCTTGATGCTCTCTGAGCTTGCTTGTTTTCTTGCAGATGTTTCATTACCCTAAGATAGCTAACATCATCAGTGCTAGTAAGGAATGTGGTTTGCTGTCGGTTTATTTATATTCTGGAGTCTTGCCTGTCTGGGTGGGTGGGGGGCGGTCTTAGGGATTCTTTGGTTGGGCTGCTTCCTAATGGCTCTTTGGCAGTTTCTTGACTGGGGTATTGCTTATTTGATTGTTGGTCTGAAGTTGACCTTGGAGCTAATCTATGGTGATCTGAGTGCTCATTACTAGTGGAGAGTTGCTGGAATCTTTTTCTCTTTTGGGCTAGTAGATTGTCTCTTTTGCATAGTCTATAGATATTGTTAATGTCTATGTGTCTATTGATGGCTGATTTGTCAGAATGCCAGGCTTCTAGAAATTCCCTGGCAATTTTGGATTTGGCTTGGTCTAGGTCTGGATTATCACATTTTCCCAATTGAAACTATGGTTAAATCTGTCTCTATGTTGTGAAATTAAAGAATTTTGGTCATGCCTTTTGACTTCCAGTTGGTGTTCATGGACACGTTCTGCCAGTCTTCTACCTGTCTGTCCTACATAGTGGCTGTTGCCGTTCTTACATTGTATGTTGTAGATGACTCCTGTTTTTTCTTCTGGGGCTGCTGGGTCTTTTGGTTTGCTTAGGATGTTTTGAAGGGCTTCGGTTGGCTTGTGGGCTGTGCTGATTCCATGTGGTTGTACTAGCCTGTTGGCGGTTTCTAAGATATTCTTGACGTATGGCAATGTAATTCTTTTTAGGGTTTGTGTCAGTTGTGCTGTATTGGGTTGAGTGGTCAAGGACTTTTTGATAAAGTTGCCTGGGTATTCATTTTGTTAGAATGTGTTGTATAGATGCTCGATTTCCTTTTTTGGCTGTTCTGGGTTGCTGCAGTGTGTTTGGGCTCATTTAAGTAAAGTCCTTACACAGCTTCTCTTGTGAAAGGTTGGGTTGTTGCTTTGGTAGTGGAGCACCTGGTTAACATGGGTGGGTTTTCTGTAGACTTGCGTTTCTAGTTTGCCATTGTGGTCTCTGCTGATCAGGATGTCCAGGTAAAGTAGCGAGTTGTTTTCTTCTTCTCTAGTAAACTGGATTCCTTTAAAAATGTTGTTGATGGTTCTGTAGGTGTTCTCTAATTGGTCTGTTTTTATTATGGTGAAGGTGTTGTCTACATATCTTATTCATATTTTCGATTGTATTTGTGGAAGTGCTATGGCTTCTAGATGTTGCATAACGACCTCCGCTGTAAGTCCTGAAAGTGGTGATCCCATAGGTGTCCCTTTAATTTGTTGGTAAATTTAGCCATCAGATTGGGAGTAATGTAGTTAAGCAGAGATTTATGAGATCCATAATCCTGGGTGTTTTGATCTTCATGTACTCAATTCAGTCAGGTGTACTGTGAAGCAATGTAATCATGGATTCTTTGGCTAATTCTGGATCAATAGATGTGAATATGGCTGTGACATCAAATGAGACCATGATTTTGTCGTCATCTATAGTCACATCCCTAATTGTTTTATTGAGTCCTTCCCAAAGACCTGGCATAGGCAGATGTTGATGTTTGGTGGTGTTAGAGATATTGTCGCAGGATGTGCGAGATTCAAAGTAAAGCCACCTTTTGCAATTGACTGGTGGTGAATTTGTCAATGCCGATGGTGTTCAAGTGGTGCTTCAGTTCTTTTGGGATTATTATGGTTCATCACACAGTCAGATATTCAGACTGGATTTGGCATTTTTGTCAACCTATCAAGTCCTCCCCAAGGATTGTGCCCTTTATTCACGCAGCAATGTTGACAGGCTCTATCTACCAAGGAAAATAGGAGAGGTTATTATTATTATGGTTCGTCACACAGTCAGCCAAATGGTTAGACCAGATCTGGCATTTTTATCCACCTGTTGTGTCCTTCCCAAAGACCTGGTATTATTATTTCCTGCCTATTACATATTTTATCCTGCTTTTATTTTTTTATATAGAGTATATAAGGTGAGGCATTATCTATACCATACATCCAAATTATCTAATAACCTATAAAACCAGATACTATCTAGAAAACGTCACTTAAACATTCAATACCTACAAATTAGTTTAATTTTGAACAAATACGTAAGTGGATTTGGATCTTGATTTCCATTCAGCTGCCAGAACTTTCTGTGAAGAGAGACCCATTCATGGAGTAGTCCTTCTAATAGTAGCAAGGGATGTGAGTTTTCCTGTTTCCCCTTTCTTATAGTGCTTGAAAGTTTTATTCCTGAGGGTTCTTGCGGAGAAAGGCTGCAAGAGAAAAGTAATTTCTACCAACATTAGAATTACAAGCCCTTTTTCTGAACATGGAAGTGAATTCATGTCTAAGCATTGATTTTAATAGGCAGCATAATCATTTTAATGTCTAAGACTCTAAATGTGAATTTTTTTTTTATCCTATGCAATGCCATTATTTTGATTTTTCTAACTCTAGCCCTTTTGACTCCATCTTTCAGTGGTGGAACACCTAAAGTCCCATTTAATGGTTACTAATTCACCAATGTCTTTATTTCTGTATTACATCATTTAGAACACGGATATAGAATATGGAATAAATGATTTGGATATGCAGTAAATGGTTTCTTAATGACTTTTATTTACATAACATAAAAAATTATCTTGAGGATTTTAATATTCCCTGTGCTTCAAGCTATGCTGCCAGTTAAGAGAAATCTTATTGTTCAACACTCCTTTTATTGCAGGCCCAGCATTAACAGTTTCAATTGTGCAATAGCTCTGATCTTTATATGATAATCATAATGGCGTTACAGTAATTGCGCCTTAGAAACATATTAGGACTGTGGGAAACTGGGGTTATGAAGAAGATCTGTTCACTGCTTCTCTTTTTGTCTTTCTCTGTCAGCGGATCCAGTGGTACAGATCGAAGGCAATCCACACTGTTGTTTCTTCAACTTCAGCCCCAAAATTATGTTCACCAAGGTAGTAAAGGCACAGCTCTGGGTGTACCTACGGCCTGTTCAACACACATCCACAGTTTATCTACAGATCCTGCGTCTTAAGCCTGTGACAGAGGATGGGAGCCGACACATCCGTATCCGCTCACTCAAGATTGACCTGAATTCACGCATTGGCCACTGGCAGAGCATTGATTTCAAGCACGTGCTCCAGAACTGGTTCAAGCAGCCTCAGAACAACTGGGGTATTGAGATCAATGCTTTTGATCCCAATGGCAATGACCTGGCTGTGACTTCTCTTGGGCCTGGTGCTGAAGGCCTGGTGGGTAAATGAGAACATTTGCTATCCTCTTCTTTCTTGACCCTAGCCCTGAAAATAGAGCTGAAGGCCCATGAACTAGTTTGATTGCCTGCTGGGCTCCTCTCTGTCAACATTCTTCAGCCATTGCAATGGGCTGTGAGAATAACCTTGGGGCACAGGAGGAAGAGCTGCAGCCTAGACAAAAATCTGATAAACAAAATCTGAGTCCAAAGGTGGGACGTGGCTGGAGAAAGCATCTTAGGAGGGACCCTCCCTAGTTCTTTGGAAAGTAAAAGCAAGAGAAGGGAGAAGTTCTTTCAGACTTGGGGAAGTCTGTTATTGTAACCTTATAATAAAAGTATTGTTAGGACTTATGGTTATGGTTTCCTGTCTGGACTACCTTGAAGGGCTGACAGACATGATAGCTCTGGCCTAGTTTTAACATTAGGGTATGTAGTACTGTTGGGGTGTTCTCTAGAGCAGAAATGTCAAACTCGCAACGTCACATGACGTCGCGCAATGTATCGGGACAGTTTCACCATTGCCGGCAATGGGGTGGGTGGGGCTTCTGGATGATGCGTCCGGCCCACGGGCCGGCAGTTTGATACCCCTGGGCTAGAGAGTGCTGTCTTTCAGAATCAATATTATCACTGAATAATGTAACAATCAAATGCAGTCAAACGCAGGTTGGAAAATGGGAAATATTTTCCTTTTATCCGTTTCATCTCAACAGTAGGCTTATGGTATAGTCAGGGGAATTTTTGCTACCTCTGTGGTCAGTTGGGGACTGCAGTGCTACTACTTAGAGAAGGCGTTTACATGTCAGTCATGACATTACAAAGTCATTGTGCTAGTTGTAATTTGTGATTTTTGCTTGATAATAACAATATCGGTATTCTCACAATATTCGTATTACAGCAACATGCATTAATTTAGATGAAACTTTTATTGCTTTCAAATACAGGATGAAGATAAATTTATATCCGCTTAATATTATCTACATAGAAAAATGAGAATAACTTAATTTCAGTTTGTGCTAATTAGAGATCTTAACAATGAAAAATCCTTCTCAGGAATTCAAAATTTATCAGGGTATATTTCAAAGTAGTACTTTTATTACAATTAGCTCTCTTTTTATACAGAGAGATATTATATTATGCGTTATTTTATGATTTAATTTAATCCTATCAAAGCTACATTTTTCAAAAAACATTTAGCAAATTACTTATAAGAGTTCCATCTTAGTTTTCCTATATAAATGTTTTTTAAAAATTATCTTTCTTTTCTCATTCTGAATTATTTCCTTGGAACCTATCCCTTTAATTATAATTACCTAATAATTCTTATAGCTTAACTAAGAATGACCCACATGTAAGTAATAAAATATACAACATAAAATATATAAAAAACATTTCTCTTCCAGAGTACTATTCATCCATTATGTACAAACTGATCTTTTAGCCTGAATACTTTTCCCCCCCTAGCAGCAACTGATGGATCAATATTCCACTTTTTCATGGATTTTTTTTTTCATAGTGGACCAACGTTTACTTAAGAAATATTTCATCATCAGGCTTAATGGTGTCAGCTCGAGTGGTTTTTTTTAAAGGAGCAAAACTCAGGACTGTTATTGGGAATTGAATAAATAACTGAATAAATAACTGGAATAAATAACGACAACTGCTGTGGGCTCTCTTGGAAAAAATTGGTCAAGAGATTGTACTGGATTTGGTAAGTCTGTGGAGGAGAATGTATATTCATAGTATTAGTTTACTTAAGGGATACAAAGGGATAGCAAAGGTTGCAGAGATGAAGCTGCGGATGGATTATGCGTAGATGGGCATGTAATTGATACCCATCAAAACTCTTGTCATGGGCTGTTTTCCACAGCTAGAAACTCTTATTTCATCACGGGGCCAATAGTTATTCTACCTAAATGCCTATCTCTGTGATTTCTCTTTTTTGTATGTCATTTGCAGCACCCATTCATGGAATTGCGTGTGCTGGAGAACAACAAACGGTCCCGAAGGAATCTAGGCTTAGACTGTGATGAGCACTCAACTGAGTCCCGCTGCTGCCGTTACCCCCTGACTGTTGACTTTGAAGCCTTCGGCTGGGATTGGATAATTGCCCCAAAGCGGTACAAAGCCAACTATTGTTCAGGCCAGTGTGAATATATGTTCATGCAGAAATATCCCCATACCCACTTGGTACAGCAAGCCAATCCCCGGGGGTCAGCAGGGCCATGCTGTACACCCACCAAGATGTCTCCCATCAACATGCTGTATTTCAATGACAAACAGCAGATAATCTATGGCAAAATCCCTGGCATGGTGGTTGACAGGTGTGGATGCTCTTAAAACCCCCCCCCCGGCCTGTTCTGTTCCATTCTTTTTCCTGTCCCACCCACCCCTCCTCCCCGGATTCTTGCTTCGAAGATGCACCCTGACATTGATGAATCCATTCATTAGCATTTTAAAACACTTTTGAAGAGAAAGTAATTGTGGGAAAAGAACAAACTGAACAGAATTGCATTGAAAAATCTCTGAAGTGACAACATGCGCTGTGCAATAATCAAAACAGACATCGCATTAATGGAGAGTGGATGAGTTGCCTTGGATCGATACTTCCATCCCTGAGGCAGATCTGAAATAAGCATTCTTCTCTCCTCCTCAAGCTCTTTGTTTGACCCAACACTTCTCAAGCTTTACTTTTACTTGCATTCTCTCTTCCCAACCTCCCCCCCCAATTCCTCTCTTGATCTGAGACGTGAAAGTGGTGATAAAGTGAAAAGTCCACCAGAAAAAAAAAAGAAGCTGTTCAACCTGTTTACAAGAACGAAAGCTTCCTAGGTTGTGATAATGTGGAATAAAATGCTGTATGAAGTTATAGAGATAAACGGGGAACGGGGTTAAAATGGATATTTTATATGAAGATGAATGAAACCTGTCAGCACGAAGGATACCGTGCCATCCTGGATTTGGGGGAAAGGGGGTGGGAGGGAAAGTATGATTTAGAAGTTGAGGATTGCTGATCCTGCCTGCCTTTTGAGAGACTGAATCCCTAAAGACACTGGAGGCTCCAAAGAAATGTAAACTGGAATTATTTGGGATGCTTTTTGCGAGTTGCATGATAGCAAGAAAAAGTAACGAAATGGAGGCATAGATGGGGAGGGGGGGTTATGGAGGAATTATCTAAGTGGAGGATAAACGGTTAATTTTAGCTGCCTTGTATTCACATTCAACTCTTTCTTTTCGATATCTTCATATATAACCTGAGCAATCTTTCTCCAAAAGTCATTATTCTTCAGCTTCTTTTTTTTTTTTAGAAAATTGAGAAACATTCAATGAATTTAAATTACATATTTTTATCCTCAACCCACTTTTGAGGTAGTGTAAAAAAGACCACAGAAACAGTATTGTCCGTGTGAGGATAAAGTATTTTACCTACAGAACAGAAATCTCTCCAGGCAGGATAAAGTTAAGATAGAAAATTTATTTATTTATTCCTGGCAATTGAATCCTTTTTTTTTTCTGTGTCACTTTTGCTTAATATTCCAATGGAAAAAAAATCATATATATGCATGTATATATGATAGGATTAGTAATTTTTCTTTTATCATTTGCAAGACTCAACTACAACCATCCAGTTACTCCGGTTATGTACAGTATTTTTTTCCACTGGCTAATGTTGACATATCAATCCTTGAATAATAGGATGTGTTGCTCTGTACTGTTCCTTTCCCCCCCCCCCTTCCTAACATTTAAACCCTTTTTAAATTAATTTTAAATGCACTTATATAGAGATTTAATTTCCAGCTTTCTTTGAAGTTGTAGTATGACTTTCTTTCACCTAACCAAACAATACCATCCAATTCTACTTCTTTTTAAAGCAGAAAAACCCAGGTAACATAAAGAGAATTAAATTAACAGGGAATGCTTTCCAAATAGAATTCTATTGAAGTTGATGCCATAGATTGTGTTAATTTAACTGAAGTGTTGCTGTTCTGTTTTCAAGAGTTTGTTGAAAGTAGACAGAAGATAATTATCTTTCAAGTGGCAAAGCATTAGCCATATAGTGAGAATACAGTAATTGTAAACTTCAAGTTTGAATAACTTGATTCCAGACATAGAAGATAGAAGCTTTTTGTCAAAATCTCTAGCAAGACAATTGCATAGGATCAAGATAACAAATTGCATCTAAGCACTTGCTGTTTCCTACTATTAGGATTAATTACATGTCTCATAATCCTCAGAATCAAAGAAGAGGGGGGAGGTAAAGGTTAAATATTATTAAGACTAATTATTTACGTTAGTGATAATCATGGAGTCAAAGTATTCAAAAGTGGCTTTTCCAGGCAACTGAGTAATGTTGCAACCTGGACCACAAATAAGTGATCCATTATTAGAGGTTCTAATCCAGCATGTGAACTGGAAAACAAAATGTTGCTGTTTGACAATGACCTGTGTCCAGTCATTCCCTGCTGATTCTCTATTTGCACAGGAAACAAAAGTTTAACAAGTTTGGCATAGGAAAAATCATTTTTTCCCCCCAATTGTGGCTATCAGTAGCCAAATTATGAATGAACTACCAAAATATTATTCTCAAGATTGAAGCACTTTGGCAGAAGGGATGGCATATCTAACAGACTTTGTATTTTTTGGAAGGATCACTTTCTTTTCTTAAGTAGAAGTAAAACAAAAATAGGCAAAACAATGAATAGCAACTTTGCAATGAATCAGCGTTCCCTCTCCTGATTCATTGTCACATTTGGAATGTAGACCAATGCCTTTCTATTTGTGAGGTCAAAGTAAGGATTGTATTAATGCAAGACTTTGCTGTTGCAGTTTTCATAATATTTGTGCAATGAAATTGGAATGAAGACTTTGTAATTACTTAACTGAAAAAGGAAATATGCGACAGGCAAGTGAGAATTAAATAGGCCGTTAGTCTTATGGCATCAAATTGGAAAAACACTGGGACTAGACTGCTCATACCGTTGTGGCGTCTTGATTTCCCTTTTGCTATTTTCCTGACAGTATGAAATCAGGATTCCTGTTTCTGCAGAGTTCAACTGTTCCTGCTGCTTTAGGGCTTGTTTCTCTACTTTCGGCTTGGGCTGTCTCGGGAGCTGCTGTGTTGTATGATGCAACCCTTCAGAAATGCCTGTCATAGGTCTGGAACCCAAGTGCTGAGGTGATGGACTGGAGGGGAGTCTGGCAGGTCTGGCGCCAAGAATTTAGTCAAGACTTTCAGCATAGACAATTTTGAGCCAACCAACTTGCTTGCCAACACAACAGCCGCTCTGTTGTAGTCAAACAGCTAAAATATGCCCTTTGAATTTTTTCTGAAATCTCTTCCACAAAAGTCCTGGTTTTGGATAAGATGGGTATTAATAAATGGGGAAGAAGAGTCAACCGAGATTGACAGGAAGAAAGATTATTTTTCTAGTTCTAGCACTTATTATATATTAAGTTGAGGATCTCGGCACTCAGCTAGATTTCTATATAGACGACAACTTCGTTTCTTTTGTAGGCAAACTCATACAGCTTTGATTTCTCCCTTGAAAGTTCCAGAGTACTAAAGCAACAAAGAAGGCATGGATGGATTTTTAATTAAGAATGTATAAGGTGAAATTCTGACCACAAAAACCAGACTCCCACCTCTATTCTATTGACAGGGAGTTCAACGCTGCTCAAAGTTGAGCAGAATCTTAGCACTTCTCATGGGTTAAATCCTAAATCTTAAAAGAAGGGAACAGTCGCTTACCCAAGGTGGCACAGAGAACAGACGCTCCTGGCCCTTTTTGAGCTGTACTGCTTTTCCTCCTCTAGCACTTATAGACTGAAGCGCTTCACTCTTTTTGAAAGCACTCATCAAACATGCCTTCTCAGCTTCTTAACACTGACTAAGTTACCCCAACTTATTAAGCGCAGTGTAAATGAAATGGAGAACTTAAAGGAGTAGAGAATAACAGTTCTGCAACTGGTAGCTTATGAGGGCATTTAAAGCTGGAATACTTAAGTTTTCAATAGCTTAGAATCTTTTTTATTTTTTAAAAGATGGCTAATGGGGGTGGGGGGGTGGGTTTACATATCTTAGTATTTGTTACCTGCATTGGTCATTGTTTAGTCTGCATTCTTGTCATTTATCAGGCCCATACAAAAATGTAGAGTCTTCTTGAGAAACAAAATTAAATAGTTTCCTTTGTCATGTGCTGCCAGATCCCCACATTTGAACTACCAGCAGTGTGAATGACATGTATATGACAGTTTTAACATTTTAGACAAAGGGAAAAAAATGTGCATAAATCTTGAAATGTGAGATCTAAAAAAAATTGGATCCTAGCAATCTTTTATTATTTGTCTTGGTATTTTTCTGAATATGAATTCTGAATATTTGCTATTTAGTAATGTAGAATAATACTGATTTATTTTTCAATTCCTGTCCTCCTATTATTTTTTCTCCCATCTTTGTGAATGAACACAAAATCTGCAAATAACTGGTATTTCAACCCTCCTCTGGAGTATTATGCTGCTCTAACTAACAATCCTACAAACATGTAAAATTCTCTCCATTTTAACTTCTTGTTTTGCAACATATAGTCCACCTTTCAGCTCTTATTGGACTTGGCATAAAAATAGGCAATTCAGAGAAAATGTGAGAGGGCTTTTCTCAATAAACATGTTTTATTAAGAGATCCTGTACTGCTTTCTCTCTGAATAGAACAAGGTACATGTTGCATAGCTTGTAATTCAGGTACTTATGGTGCTCTGTAAAGAATTAGTAGCAGAACAGAAAGTACTTTTTTTTCACTAAGCAATAATCCCTACATATATCCAGGCACAACTTTTCTCCTTTTAAGTCAATCCATAATAAAAATACCATTATATGCTTAATTTTCTAAAAGTGATTGAAAATGTATATCTTATAAAAAAAACTTCCTTACAACTATCCACCCCAACAATTTGACAAATCAAACATTGCTGAATGTTTTTATTTAAATATGTTTGTGTTGTGCACATATGCACACACTCTCTCTAAAAGGCTAGAAAACCTTATGTAGAAATGAAAAATGAATGAATTCCAAATCTTTATTCAGTCAAGCATTTTTCCTCTAATATTATATCAGCACTGTCATTCACAAAAGGTGCCTTTTGATATTTTACAGACAGGGCACATAGCACACACAATCTTGCATTTTGATTCCATGAAAACAACATTCTAGATTTCATATTTCCTGGCTGAAGTTTGAAAGAGTGCAGATAGTATTTCCTGACCATGGATTTAAGTAGGTTTTTCTACAGTTGGAAAATAAGTATATGATGTGAATAGGAGGAATGTATCTGAGATTAAGAAC